AGTAAGAAAAAGTACATCTTCAACTTTCCAGAAGCAGAAGCTTCTAACTGAATTTTTAAGAAAGAATATCTACTACTCTAAACAATATTTTAAAATAACACAAACTATAGTATATAAATTCAATGGAATAGTACACAATTGTTTAAAAAGTGAGAGAGAGAGCGCACGCACAAGGCCATTGTAGTGATGCAGCATAACAGCCAAAATAATTGGTAAAAGCAAAATATAAAGGATGTGTAGGGGGCATTATTTGTGCAAAAGCAGAAAACAAAAGAATAAACACATGCAGATGCTAGCGCATACACCAGATATCTCTGGAACATCATATAAGAAACTTGTAATAGAGATCCCTTTGAGGACAAAAAAATAGAAGACCAGGAAAAAGGTGGTGTGGTGAGAAGGGGACTAAACTTGTGCAAATATTACCTTTCCAAAGGAATAACTAAGGAAGATTTGTAACTAATCTCATCTAGAAAAATATACAGGCCGGGGGAATGGTGGGCAACACAAAGGATATCTGGTCCTTTTGGAGGCCCAAACTTCACCTGCATGTAGATTACTTATGTGCCTAATTCTAACTTATACCCCACATCTCTATAATAAAATAAAGTAAAAAAAAAAAGAAACGAAAATTACACAGTCCAAAACATATGAAAATCCTGTGAATGACTATTAAGAAGTCGATAGAATTTAACATTAGAAAACACTACATAAATAGCAAAAGAAAAGTTCAGTGGAGGAGAACTGAGCAATGGACTTGTTCTAGGAATTAGAATACAACCTCGTATAGATGAACTAAATAACGACTTTAAAAATGTATCTTAACAAAGTAACTGGGCATGGTAGCGTGTGCCCGTAGTCCCAGCTACTCAGGAGGCTGAGGCAGAAAAACTGTCTGAGCCCAAGAGGTTGAGGACATGGTGAGTTGTGATGGTGCCACTGCACTGCAGCCTGGACAACAGAGTGAGACCCCTGACTCAAAAAAATATATATAGTTGTAAAATGTATTTTAGATTCTGGTAGGATGGTGGGCTAGGTACCTGCATCAAACTTCCCACTGAAAACCAGCAGGAAAATGGGACCCAGCAACCAGGATTAGTCTACTTCAGGGAACAGGTCCTTGGGGAGGTCCCCCAGATGAGTTGATTCTTTCACTTCTGTGAGGACACAGTAAGGGAGATAAATTCTAGAGTGAGAGTGGCACCGTGAAAAGAATGCAGGGGTTAAGACTCAGAGTTCTGGGTTTGAGTCTCTATCCTGCCACCTGGAAACCATGTCCTCTCAGATAATTTACTGAATCCGTCATTCATCTGGGAGGCCAAGGTCAGGGCGGTTGTGAGAATTAAGTGGGAATGTGGTGACACTCTGGCACGATACCTGCCACTCAGCACCTGCTTAGGAAGTACTAACTGGCTCTGATTGACAAAGACTAAGCGAAGCCAAGGGGTTACCCTCAGGAAGAACAGCTACCACCTTTGCTTAGTTATTTGAGGGGCTTCAGTTCATCAAGTAACACCACAGAGTGTCAGCAAAGCCACTGAGCCTCATATTACCGGACTAGCTGTTTAACAAAAACAGTGAAGAAAGCACATCTCTTCCCATAATTGTCCAGATCTCAAACAGTCCCTTAGGAAGATGTTGAAGAAAATACCTTAAGTCATCTTTCCATCCAGGATTAATAACTGAGAAACCCAAAACCATTTCCATGGATACACCTGAGAAAATTCCCCCATTCTGTAAATGAACCAAAGTAGCAGACATTTTATAATACAATACCAAGAAAGGCTCAAAGATTGATGAATAGGTTTGGAATTGGTGAAAAGATAAATAAATAACAGCATTTCAAAAGCAAATTACCAATGAACATTTCTTTAATTTACTGTAACATATTTAAAGCACTTCTATACCAGAGTGCAAGATGGCTGATCACAATACACTCCCTTGTCATGTAAGTATCGACATGTAGTCAGTGGGGAAGGGGGGTTTCATGGGGGTGTATGCAGCGGAAGGGGAAGGACATGAGGTGGGTGTGTATTCATATATGTACACACATGTACATATAGACCAGGTTGAAAATGGTTTGTTAAAATAATGTCTCAAGTCAGTCATGGTGGTTCATGCCTGTAATCCCAGCACTTTAGGAGGATTAGGTGAAATATCGCCTGAATTTGAGAGTTTAAGACCAGCCTGGGCAACATGGCAAGACCTCGTTCCTATAATAAAACAAGAACTTAGCCAGGTATGGTGGTGCACACATATAGCCCCAACTACTTGGAAGGCCGAGGCAGAAGGATTGCCTGAGCCCAGCAGATTGAGGCTGCGGTGACTGTGAGCATGCTACTGCACTCCAGCCTGGGCAACAGAGTGAGACTCTGGCTCAAAATAAGAATAATAATAATGCCTCATAAAAATTACCAACTGATTTCACAACAAAATCAAAGTACAACAAACTCAACTAAAAAGCGCCCAAAGGAACTGCTTATTCAGCAAAAACATATGACAATTGCACTATTTGAAGCTTCAGTGATAACCAAGACACTTTCAAAAAAAGCAAAGGTCTTTTTTAACATAAATATACTGATTAAGTGAACTTCTAGTTAATTCATGTTCTAGTTTTATGGAATGACCAAAAGTCAAAGGGCTTCTAAATTCTATTCTTAGGCAAGATAAATAGATAGGAAGATGAAGGGGGTCTTCAAAGAAATGTTACCGATGTCTCCACCCACACCCAGAGATTAGAGGCAAGTGTAGCCCATCTTTTTTTTTTTTTTTTTTTAGTTGGGCTCTTACTCTGTCACCCAGGCTGGAGTGCAGTGGCATACTAATGGCTACTACAGCCTCCACCTGCTTGGCTCAGGCTATCCTTCCGCCTCAGCCTTCCACGTAGCTGGAACCACAGGTATGTGCCACTACACCCGGCTATTTTTAAATATTTTTTTGTAGAGATGAGGTCTCGCCAAGTTTTCCAGCTGGTCTCAAACCCCTGAGCTCAGGCAATCCTCTCGTCTCTGCCTCCCAAAGCTCTGGGATTACAGGTATGAGCCACCATGGCGACAAGCCTAGCTCATCTTATTTACAAAAGAGAATGGGCCTCCAAAATGCAAGTACCAAGAAAGTATACACATCAAGAGCAAATGAATTTCCTAGTCCCACATGCTTGTGACTGTGCAGACTTTAGACAGAGACAGAAGTAAAATCAGGACCTTTGGCATTGCCAAAGCAGTGATGCCAGTTAAACCTGGTCACGTTCTCTAATCTGGGCACTCTGAAAACCTGCCAGGTTTTGTAATTGTGAGGAAAGCAAGACTCTCAAATGTCCCCAAGGGTCTTGCGCAGGCTCAGTCTTTCACCACTGCTCTACTAGTTCATTCAGGTGGGCTAAGACATGGGCTCCCCTAATAAACCCATTCCGCATCTGTATACTGAATGCCTTCCACGTGCCACACGTTTTACCAGGGTCTGGGAATGAGTCTGCTCAGATCACTCATCACAGTGATTCTAGGTTCCTCATGCTTTTCCATAAATTTTATTTTTATTTTTTATTTTTTGAGTTGAAGTCTTACTCTATCACTCAGGCTGGAGTGCAGTGTCACGCTCACAGCCACCGCAGCCTCGACCTGCTGGGCTCAAGTGATCCTCTCACTCAGCCTTCCAAATACCTGGAGCTGCAGGTGTGCACTACCACGCCCAGCTAATTATTGATTGATTGATTTATTGTAGAGACGAGGTCTCACCAAGGTGCCCAGGCGGATCTCAAACCCTTGAGCTCAGGCAATCCTCTTGCCTTGGCCTCCCAAAGTGCTGGGATTACAGGCTCATAGTGTCTCCCACAGCGCCTGGCACTTTTCCATAAATTATTGGGCCTGCTAGCAGAGTGTCTTTCACCATAGCAATGTCTTTCTACCATTAATTCTGCTTCCCCAAACTGACTGCAGTTTAGAGGGATTACATTTGCTGACTGTATCCTTATAAAGCTAGCATGCAACACTCGTACATTTTAAAGACTTGATTATTTGGCCAAATATAAACAGTGGTGAATACACTCCCATTCCATTTAAAACAATGAGGACAAGAGCTAAATCTTCATTTTTGTGGACTTGAGTTTCACTGTTCTTGGCAAACCACTAAAATGAAGCTATTTTTATCTAGAGCTGCAGGAATGCTCACAGGTAACTCTCGAGCTGCTAACATGCTGGAAGTGACAGTGAACAGAAGCAACTGAAATCAGAAAGTTTCCCATTTCCTGACGTTGAAACAAAACCAGCTGAGCGCAGTGGCTCATGCCTATAATCCCAGTACTTCGGGAAGCCAGGGAGGTAGGATTGCTTGAGTCTAGGAGTTTGAGACCGGCCTGAGCAACACAGTGAGATCTCGTCTCTACAATAAAACAAAAAAAATTAGGTGAACGTGGTGGTGTATGCCTGTAGTCCCAACTACTTGGGAGGCTGAGGCAAGAGGATTGATTGAGCCCAGGAGTTGGAGGCTGCAGTGAGCCATGATCGTGCCACAGCAACCAGCCTGGGCAACAGAAAGAGACCTCGACTCAAAAAAAAAAATTAATAAAGTGAATAACAAAAATTGAGAGATGATTGACATGTTAATCACAGATGTAATGAATAAGGTAAAACCAAATGTTAAAAATAAACCAAAAAACTATCCAGGGAGTCAGGAAAAGGTTAAAATAAAACAGAGTTACATGGACATCAGATAATCAGATCAACGTGAGTGTCTGTGGAGTTTCTTCCAGTATTCACAACCCAAAAACAAATCCAGACTGAGGTCCACAAGTTACATTAGATACAACTGAACTGAAATTGCAAAGGCCCAAGCCAGCACTGAGCCAGCACTCAGCAGCTAAGAGACCTCAGGTATGTCACTGAACCTCTTTGAGTCCTGGAGAGGTTGGACTGGAGGGTCCTCACTGTCACTGTGACCTGCCTTCCTTTTCAGCTTTATAATGACAGGATCCCCTGAAACGCAAAAAAAGGGCACAATCTTACCGTGTTGCTGCAGTCAGACGGGTCATAAGTACTCTGCTTAAAAACTTTACAGAGTTCCATGAATTCTTCACACATCTCGTGGATTTGCCCATTTAAAATTGCTCCCTTGGACCCACCAAATTCCAGTCTTTCCAGCTTTTCAAACTCCAAGGTCGTGACAAATATATCCTTTGTAAAAACACAGGAAGTAAAGAACTCTCTACCATCTTGAGCAGGAAAAGAATATTTTAAAGTTTCAAATCAGGAACATTTTCATACATCAGGGAGTCAATGGACATGTATACGACAAAAAATAAACATGAATGATTTAATTAAACCAAGTAATGGTCAATTTAAAAAATCATACTTCCATTTTCATGTTTACTAAAAATTATCTTGGCCAGGCACGGTGGCCCACATCGAATCCCAGCATTTTAGGAGGCTGATGTGGGAGGACTCCTTGAGCCCAGGAGTTCAAGATCAACCTGAACAACATAGCAAGACCTTTTCTCTACCAAAAAAAAAAAAAAATTAACTGGGCGTGGCAGCTACTCAGGAGGCTGAGGAAGAAAGATCACCAGAGCCCAGGAGATCGAGGTTGGGTCGAGCTATGGATTGTGCCAGTGCGCTACAGCCTGGGTAACAGTGAGACTCCACCCCAAAAATGAATGAATGAATGAATAAATAAATAAAGTAACTTCTGAAGAGCTTTTTGCAGCAGCTGGAAAAAAAAGAAAAACCCATTCCTCCCCACCAAAAATATTTTTTTCCAAAATTTTTTTTTAAACATTGCATTAAAAAAAGTTTGTCTTATAACATAGGTGACCCTCAATTCACCACAGGTCAATGTATGACTCTCCTAATCATAAGTCAGACCACTAGGTAATATCCTAAACTCGTGTTTTCAGCTGCCCATACTTTGCAGCGAGTCAGCCGCGTTGCTGAAAGGGAACTCAGGAGACTGAGTTCAGGACGGGACACGAGAGTTGCCTTCCACCAGGTAGTGGACATTCAGAGCACTAAGGGGCATCCAAGGTGAGTATGTGATCATGAGAATGTTCCAAACATAAAGCTCTAATTTTGAATGAAATATAACAAATCTTATATCATCAATAAGGCCCAAAATTCCTAGAAAGTGATTAACAAAGAAAATAAGGTAGTGTCTACCAGGCGTGGTGGCTCACGCCTGCAATCCTGCACTTTGGGAGGCAGAGGTGAGAGGACTGCCTGAGCCCAGGAGTTCGAGACCAACCTTTGCAACTTGTCAAGACCTCAATTCTACAATAAAACAAAAAATTATCCAGGCGTGGTGGTGTGCACCTGTGATTCCAATTACTTGGAAGGCTGAGGCAGAAGGATCGCCTGAGCCCAGCAGGTTGAGGCTGCAGTGGCCATGAACATGCCACTGCACTCCAGCCTGGGCGACAGAGTGAGACTCCAACTCCAATTTCAGGGTCTCACTCTGTCACCCAGGTTGGAGTACAGTGGGCCAATCACGGCTCACCATATCCTTGACCTCCTGGGCTCAGGTAATCCTTCCGCCTCAGCCTCTTGAGTAGCTGGGACTACAGGCTCATACCGTTACACCCAGCCCTGATTTTTTAATGAGGTCTTGCTATGTTGCCTAGGCTAGTCTCAAACTCCTGGGCTCAAGTAATCCTCCTACCTCAGCATCCCAGAATGTTGGGATTATAGATGTAAGCCACTGAGCTGGTCATATTTCTACATTTTATTTGTTTTTACCAATGGTTTTAATATTTCTGTAGTATAGTATATATTTATATACTAAAAAATAGTGTGATATTTTAAATTATCAAGCAAGTTTTTATTTTTTTGAGTTGGAGTCTCACTCTGTCGCCCAGACTGGAGTGCAGTGGCCACTCCACAACAGCCTCGACTTGCTGGGCTCCGGCGATCCTTCTGCCTCAGCCTTCCAAGTAGCCGGAACTACAGGCGTGCGCTACCACTCTGATTTTTTGTTTTATTGTAGAGATGAGGTCTCGCTGCCCAGGCGGGTCTCGAACCTGTGGGCTCAGGCAATCCACTCACCTCAGCCTCCCAAAGGCGCGGGATTACAGGCTGAGCCACCGAGCCCGGCTTCAAGCAAGTTTTTAGTTGTAAAATCTCAATTTCAAGCATTAAACATATGAAAGAAAAAGTGACTTCTTTTTCAAAGGATGAATTTACAGCCTCCCAATTCCTCTTCCAGGAGCTTAATATATTGTAAGTCAAGGGTCATTGATATGTAAAGAGACTTACTTATACTCAGTATAATAACAATAAAAAACGGATTTTTAAAAAGCCAAAGTAAGCTTTAAAAACAATTATTTGAACATCCTTATAGCAGTGGCCTTGTGAGCTCTTCTTGTAAATCGTGAGAAAGGAGACCCCACCCATGATACAAACTGTTTTGTGAATCACATGAAAAGCCACAGGTTTTGTGAACCCACCTACAAGATGAATAAAGTCAGTCAATAAACGAATACCTCTATTTTCATTAAACGATCAAGAAACATGTCAAATCTGCAAAACACCAGATGAGACTGGAAATCCCATGGTTTCAGTTCCTTATTTTCCCTGAAATAGTTGGCCAATCTTTTTCGATAGTTGAAAAAAGAATTTTTGAAAGTCTTTAAGATGTTAATTGCCACGTGCACTTTTTCCAGTGAGTCTTCAATTTCTCCCTTCAAAAGGTCCTCAGGTGAAAGATAAGTTATTGCCTAGGATTTAATGAAAGGAAATGATCATCAAAACTATGTTTAATAGTTTTTCCTGTAACCATCTCTGTTTCAATGGATCATTTTTAAATGCCACTGTCTAGAGTTGGGTCAGCAATGCTGTGAGACAAAAAGCACAAATTCTAGAAATTCAGCCACTTGGACATCAATAACATACTTTTAGAAGTTACAATAACATATAGAAGACCTACTATTTCTAGATTTTTACATTCTAGCAATGACTACATTTTTGCTAAACCTTGTGTATATGACAGTGGTGCCATCTGAATTTGTGTGAGCATGCCTGCCAGCAAAATATTCTGGACAACCATTTTTTCATACAAGGAAATACACAAGCCAGCAGGGGAAATTTTATTATGAATTTTTAAAATACCGTCATTTTACCTAGTACCACAGGATCACTTGCAAAGATGAGAAAGAGCCAATTGTTGAAGGCTAGGAATGGCTACTCATGCCTGTAATCCCAGCACTTTGGAAAGCTGAGGTAGGAGACTGCTTGAGTCCAGGAGTTCAAGACTGCCTAGACAACATAGAAAAACTTCGCCTCCACAAAAAAATTGAAAAATGTCCAGGGTATATCATTGGAAATTGTTTCAGGTTAACAAACTTCTCTTCTTGGGGCTTAAGTGTCACTATAGGACATATAATCTAGCTGACACATGCTACATGAACTAGGTTTGAATGGCAGAAAAGAAGGATAAAAAAGAAAAGACTAGCAGAGTAGTACTGGTCAAACTCTCACAGGACTATCATCCAGTCCCCCCAATTCTTCTCTCTTCACATTTAGTATGAACATGCAGAATTCCCCTCTTTAAGGACCTCAAGAACTTAAGACTTTCTGAAGGTTCTCTAGTTTATGATTTCTTCCTGATACATCTTGACTGCTTATAAGGTATAGGTTTAAATCATGTGCCTTCAATGTTGTAGTTGCTAAGAAAGTTGATTAAGATCTCAGTGGAGAAGGTAATGGCAGCCATGAGTTCAACACAGCAGATTGAGGACTTCTTTTTTTGTTTTTTGAGTTGGAGTCTCACTCTGTCATCCAGACTAGAGTGCAGTGGCCGCTCCTGACCACCGCAACCTCGACCCGCTGGGCTCCGGTGATCCTTCCGCCTCAGCCTTCCAAGTAGCCGGAATTACAGGCATGTGCTACCACGCCCGGCTGATTTTTTTGATTTATTGTAGAGATGAGGTCTTGCCAAGTTGCCCAGGCGGGTCTCGAACCCGCGGGCTCAGGCAATCCACTCACCTCAGCCTCCCAAAGGCGCGGGATTACAGGCTGAGCCACCGAGCCCAGCTTAGGACTTCTTTTTTAAAGGCAGACATATGACCTTCAACATCCCATTAATGACAACAGTTTTATATGCAATAGAGACAAATTTGTAAAGCTGTAAGAAAATCATTTAGTGTCTAAAAACTTACTGACTGGAAACCTTCCCAATCTTCTTATTTCCCACTCAGGTAGAATAGAAAATTAACCTCTAGAGGAAAGCAGTTAGCATTTCACACAGAACAGGGAAGAAAATCTCCAGTAATCCCTCCGCCATGTGAGTTTGGTGACTTTGGTATGGTGGATAGCCTAGTTCAAGTGCCTTTATCTATATCTATTCTTTAGAGTGAATGCATCTTTTTAGGAAGTGGAATATTCTAGAGCAAAAACTCAACCACCTTCAGCAGCCTCTTGTTATCTAATTACCTGCATTTAAAGTAGCATCTCTCAGACAAGCCGTGCTTATGTTCATGCCTGGGTTACTTGGCTGGCCCTCACATAGATGAGAGCATCACAGCCAATTAACTACCTGTCTATACAGTGGACTATTGAGCAAGACCTTCCAAGACAAGGTTATAATATTTAACATGCTAGATTAGAAATCCCAGTCTATCTTCTTGCATTGGGTAGCAGATGATGTGAGGGAAAACGCATCTCAGGAGGCCAGAGACCTGGCTGTGACCCAGCTAGAGCCAATGACCACTTTTATGACATTAACGAAGATGTCTCAGAGATCTGTCTCAGATCTGTTTCCTTCTCTACAAAGCAAGGGAGATGGATGAAGTGAACCTTCAGATCCCTGGATTATTTTCTGCCCCCTACTGTATCTCTGGCGCTTACCCAACCATGCCAGCTTTATCATCTCATGCTTAATAGCTTCAACAGCAAAAAGCTACTTGATTGAGGGTAAACTGGTCCCACTTCAGAGGTCTTATATGCTAAAATACTGCTAACCCCTCATAAGACAGTTAATTTATCAACGTACCAACCAATCGATGACATCATGTTAGTTTGGTGCCTATCTCCCTACTGCTTCTCTCTCTCTCTCTCTCTTTTTTTTTTTTTAGAGTTGGAGTCTCATTCGGTCACCCAGACAGGAGTGCGGTGGTCACTCCCATCCACCACAGCCTCGCCTGCTGGGCTCCGGTGATCCTTCCACCTCAGCCTTCCGAGTAGCCGGAATTACAGGCATGCGCTACCACGCCCGGCTGATTTTTTGATTTATTGTAGAGATGAGGTCTCGCTGCCCAGGCGGGTCTCGAACCTGTGGGCTCAGGCAATCCACTCACCTCAACCTCCCAAAGGCGTGGAATTACAGGCTGAGCCACCGAGCCTGGCTTTTCTCTCTCTTTTTAATGTGCTTTAATGAACTCTTACTTTTTGCTCATTCCTGACATCCTTTCTCCAAGCTTGACTACTCAAGACTTAAACTCTTCCTCACCTAGGATCCCGCGGACGACAGTGTTCACAACCGTGATACCAAGTCACAGAACAGACAGGGTGGAGGACCTAGGTGGTAATGATGCATAAGGAACAGGGAGCAGAGTTAGGTCAGCAGAGACAAGAGGGGAGTGATTAAGAAAAGACTCCATTGCCAAATGCCAGTGAAGAGATGATACCTTTTACATGTCTGGTCTAAATGATGATGTTCATGGTCACTGTTAGAAAACAAGCGAAGAGAAACACATTTGCTTTTAAAGTAACAAAAGGTTTCTGACCATGGGATGCCAGTCATAGGGTCAGACAGTCAATGAAAATGAGCAAAGTAGATCAGAAACAATAACGAATAGTGATGGCCAAGGTCATCTGGACAGCACCTTATCTATCCAAAGAAGCACCTGAGGCTCTAGTCACTGACTGTGTCAATGGGGATGACAAAGCCAGTGTGGTGAGGTCTCTGACTTTTCAGTAGAGGCTGGAATGATGAAATCTAAATGAAATGCATTCAAGTATTAGCAACAATTTCATTTTTTGAAGCCAGGGTCTCAACTATGTGACACAGACTGGAGTGTAATGGCATGATCACAGTCCACTGCAGCCTCAAACTCCTAAGCTCGAGTGATCCTCCCGCCTCACCCTCCCAAGCAGCTGGGACTATTGGTGTATACCACCACACCTGGACACTTTTCAATTTTTTGAAGAGGCAAAGTTTTGTATGTTGCCAAGGCTGGTCTCAAAATCCTGGACTCAAGCAATCTCCCACCTTAGCCTCCCAAAGTGCTGGGATTACAGGCATGTGCTACCATTCTCAGCCTCCAACAATTTTTTTCAATTAAAAAATATTATGCAAAATAAAATACTACATTGATCTATGGGCCAAATGTAGCTAACGAAATGCCAGCTATGACCTTCAATATATAACATGGGAAGGGGCAAACTTTTCAAAGACATTGAAATCAATAAACACATGTAGGTTACAAGAGGAAATATAATTATAAAACATATAAAATGTATAATTACACATATTATGCAAGGTACACATTAAAAACTACATGGTACCACCACATACTCAATAAATGATTGCAGTTTTTTTAAATGGTAATGCTCAAAGCTAGCAGATTACAGTAAAACTTTTTACACATTGATAATAGCAATGTAATTAATATAACCTTCCAGGAAAAAAGTATTAAGTATTAAATACTGCTCCAGAGGCATGAAAAGACTGTACCCTTTGATCAACATTAGGAATTTATATTAACCCAATAATCCAAAGCATGGAAAAGGATTTCTGTACAACTTTTTTTGTGCATGCTGTCTATAATAAAGGAGGCTTGAAGCAACCTAAATATTCAGCAATAACAAAATTATTTTGCAAGAAATAAAAACTACATGTATGACAAAATGTATACATGTGGTACATTTGGGGGAAAAGAAAAATTAAAAATGCTAAATTTTAGAGTCCTAAAACTGCAGGACTATTTCCATTGCTACAAATGTTTCACACGGAGAATATTTGATAATTATCATTAGCACACCAGGCATTATGTCATAATTAGACATATAAATTATTATTCTAAAATATGGAGTATAGTACAATGGGTAAGCATTTTATCACTTCCCAGCTGGGTAACCTAGGGAGAGGTACTCACCTTCTCTGGGCTTCAGTTTTTTCATTCCAAAATGGAGCTAATATTACCTAATAGTACATAAGTCATAGTGTTGCTATAAGAATTTGATTTTTGAATTTCGTAAGGGGCTTAGAAAAGTTTCTGGCAAAAATAATAAGTGGTATACAGTGTTTGTTATGTAAATATATCAATATATAAGATAAGCAAAATTAGACAGCAAGCAATTAGGGAGGAGGGCGGTTTAGCTCTTCAGGGACCCTGGCTATGAAACTTGGCACATTGCTGGGTTTTGATTCCTAACATGTTGGGGCAGATTTACTACAAAGACCGGGATGTGCCACTTAGAGGATCAAGGAAATCAGGTCAATAAAACCTTTGAACAGAAGTCAGAACTAAGGAACAAGAGAAGCTACATTATTTTCTCAGGAGCTTGGCAGACTCTGGTTGTTGACACAGACCAGGGGCCAGGGACGAGTGGTTTCCAGGCTTAGAGGTAACCAGGACTTCTTACAAGCCACCCATGCCAATGAGTGGCCACACGTGGGGCTTATGCATTAACAGAGGTTGATCAGTGAAAACAGTTTCAGTTGATCTCAAAATGAGAAATGGGACTCTAAACAAGGGTCTGGGAGACGTGAAGGTTACAGCTGTTGGCCCTGCAATGGGGTTGGTGGCGATTTACACAGAGATCCAAGTCACTGGGGCCCGGGGAAGCTGCTTAACAAAAGCAAAACTGAGTTTGCACAACAGAGGAACCAAAACAGAACAAGGCCAGAGGAGAGGATAATAAAACACAGCGAGGAACTGCCTGTTGTCATCTCCTATTAATAGCTGCAACTGGCTTGTAAGTCCACAGTTCCGGCAAAGGAACAAAAAGCACCTTTTAACAACCTCTGTTAAATACCAAGCACCACACTGAGCACTCCCTTATCTCTTTTGAGCCTCACAATAGCCATGAACTAGGCATTATCCCCACTAACAGATGCAGAAACTGAGGCTCAGAGAATTTAACTTCCCTTAAGTGGTTCAATAGATTTGAATCCAGGTTGGTCTAAGTCCAAAGCCCTTTCCACACACCACTCTATCTCTTCAAAAAGAGAGAGAAAGAGAGGGAGGGAGGGAGAAGATATTAACAACTCAATCTCATACTCCAGAAACTCTAGACTGCAAGTCTGCAGACTTGTTCTCTAGTCTTGCTTTCCTCTTATCGTCTCAGAGAAATTGAGCAAATAATAACCTCTTCCAAGTCTGTTAATTTATTTGAAAAAAATATCTGAATTATGTCCCCTGAGATTGACAGCTGAAGGACTAGCTGCCAACATGACTGTATCTGGATACAGGTCTTCAGGAGGTAATTAAGACTGAATGAGCTTATAAATATGGGGCCCTAAGCTGACAGGACTGGGGCCTTTTAAGAAGAGGACAACAGCCAAGTGAGGACACAGCGGAAGGCAGCCAGCCACCTGCAAGCTGGGAAGAGGACCCTCACCAGAATCCGACCATCCTGGCACCTGGTCTCAGACTTCCAGTTTCAAGAACTGTGAGAAAATGTCTGTTGTCCAAGTTTCTTGGTCTAAGGTATTGGTTATGGCAGCCCGAGCAGACTAAGATACACTCTCAACTAAGAACCGCTGGATTGTACCACTGAATTATAGCACCCAAGTATCTTTTAGCTCTCAAATTATGTAATATTCTCTAATACTGTGGACATAAGACAATCAACGTTCACAAGAGAATCAAAAGATAAGGAAGAAAGGGGAAGAGGTGGCCCAATTTTTTTTAGCATTTTACAAGTTGAGTAAGGAGTAGAGAAACAATTATAAAACATTAACATGAATCAAAATTCTTTCAATACAATTTCACTATTTTTTGAGGATAATTTCTTTTTATCAGGTTCTCTTAACTTCCTCTACTTTCCACAAGTCTTCTGTCAGTCAGTGTTCCTGTGAAAACTAAAGGAAGCTTACAAAGAAGTTACTAAGCATATCTGCCTTTTATTGGAAGCTGCCTTAAATCTCTTTGAAGAAAGGTAGGACATTAAACAAACGAAACCCAGCAACAGCATGTCCTTTGGTTGTGTCAGACTTATTTCCAGAGCTCCTTGGCATTTAGAATTTTAAAAGTCACCTGGCCTTTTTTTTTCTTACCATAAATGTCCTTTCTGAAAAAAGAACATGATGCTTTTACTGTATACTAGAATTATTTATTCCTCACTAGTCTAACAAAACCTACCTCATGGCAATGATTCCTATTGTTCCTATTTTTAATGCTACATACCTGGTCCATAAAGAGATTACAAAACTCTTGCAATAAAACAATAATCCGAGCAGGGGTATTATAAGACTTGGAATGACTCCAGATCAGACAGATGGTGTGGAATAATGGGGCGATTAATACACGGGTTTGTGGGAATTCTGTCTCCTGGAAACACTGAATGTGTCTCCTCAGAGGTCTCAGAAAAAGTTCCACATCTTGGGCTTCGAGGAGCGCTAAAAAGAAAGAAACATCATTGTAAATTCACTTTACAAGTACAGTCGGGCACAGAGTTCACGCTTGTAATCCCAACACTTTGGGAGGCCGAGGCAGGAGGATTGCTTGAGATCAGGCTGGGCAACATAGTGAGACCTCATCTCTATAAAAAATAATAAAACTAAAATAAAAATAAAACAAGTAGATGAGAGCCATGTAAACAACACAGCTGTACTTAAATGTTGTCATATTTCCTTTTATATGACTTATCCTACAATCTACACATGAGCAGTTTGGGAGACTTTACACAATGTCCATCTGTCACTCAGTTATTCAGGAGAGCACTGGTCTAGTTACTCAATGAGCATAAATAATGGAGTCTGAAGACCCAGGGGGAAAATACCCCTGGAGTCTAAAGAAATGCACTCAGTCCCATAGAAACTGCGAGAACATCTCTGTGATATTGCTGTCATGTTATGGCTTGAATTATGAGCTTCATCATGAGAATGTTAATTCCTCCTGGGTACCTGGTACAAACACAGTTGAATCAGTGATTGTTTCATTCCAGTTTCCTATGAGAGTAACTCATGCAATAATTGAGGAAAAGTCTATTACATTAAATAAAGATATAACTATGAAAACTGTTAAGTATAGTGATGAAAATATTTTGGAAGGAAACCGAGGTGATGATTGTACAACATCATGAATGTACTAAATGCCAAATTAACCAAATTGGTTAATTTTATGTTATATGAATTTTTCTTTAATAAAAATAAAATTACTGAGCATGGTAAAAGTAATACATTTTTTAGTCAGATGCAGAGGATCATGCCTGTAATCCCAGTACTTTGGGAGGCTGAGGTGGGAGGATTGCTTGAGGCCCGAAGATCAAGACCATCTGGGCAAAATAGTGAGACCCCGTCTCTACATTAAAAATATAAATTAACAAAACAGAAAATGTTATCTTTGACTTTTCCCTTAAAAAAGCAGGAATGCTTCAAATATGAAGAAATACTATAAACATGAGGAAAAATTTAAATATTCAGCTATCATTAATAACTGCATAATCAAACCCAGTTTTCTCTTAATTAAAACTGGTTCTTTTAATATGCCCTAAAAGGATCTCCAGCAGACTTCATTTGGCTCCTGAGGTTACAAGTATCCTAGATTAACTGAGAACAGATTTTATTTATGAAAGTAGGAATAAAGTACAGCAAATTCGTATTTTCTAGTGTTATCCCAAAAGACTCATGTCAAAAATAAAAAACCAACAACAAAATTCTGCTGAACTTTTTCACCAGAAACCAGGGATATACAATCAATTAATCTGTCCACCTAGTAATACAGCCCTGAGAAGAGAGAGAAGCTTCAGGAACTATGTATTCTCCAGATACATTTTTTGAAATTAGTGGTTTTTTATTTTTTGATTTCTTTTTGTTACAGACAAGGTCTTGCTCTCTTGCCCAGACTGGAGTAGAGTAGCATCATCATAACTCACTGTAGTCTTGACCTTAAGGGTGCAAGTGATCCTCTTTCCTGCCTCAGCCTCTCAAGTAGCTGGGACTACAGACACGTACCACAATGCTCAGCTTTTTCTTTTTGTAGTGAGGAGTCTCGCTGCGTTGCCCAGGCTGATCTTGAACTCTTGGTCTCAAGTGACCCTTCTGCTTGACCTCCCAAAATTCTGGGATTACAGGAGCCACCGTGCCCAGCCAAAATTAGAGTATTTTTTATCAACACTAATTTCAAAATTAAATAATTGCATTTAAAAGGTAAGTGCCCTTAAAATGTAATCAGCGTGTCTGGTGATTTCACAGAGCTTTAAATATGTCTTTGAGAAGGTCCAACTACCTACCAACTGACCACGGGCTTGAGCCACATGTTCTACTGGAGTTTTTTTTTTTTCTGAATCTCCAGGTCACATGCCCATAAGGCTCTAAAGACCCCTGGGATTCATTGCTGTGAAAGCCATACTCACAGAAAAAGTTCTTCTTATACTAACATAGAAAAGATGCCAATAGCTTCTATTTATTGAGAGTATACCTACTATTTGCCCGGTAACTTGTATAGTATATCAGGGACCCCCCCAAAAACCAGAATTATCTTTTGGAGGGCAGGTCCCTAAAATACAGGCTTCTCCTACTAGGTAAGTGTTCTAAGAACCCATCTGCATCAGTGTACCAGCTATCATTGTTGTGAGAGGTTCAGTGAATTTTTTTTTAAGATTCTTTCAACACTTTTGTCCATTTCATGATTTCATGATGAGTGATATACACGAACAACCTGTCCACACCACACTGAATGTTCAGCAATTTTTGACCAAAAACAGCATGACCCCATACCCCAGCTTTTTTTTGCTTCACCAGAAGGGAAAAAGACCTCACAGGGAGGTGAAACAAAAACTAGCAGAAGCACTAAAAGGCATTCAAATGGACAAGTTCAAAAACTGTTTTGAGCAGTGGAAAAAACATCTTGATAGGTGTACTGCATCAACTAGAGATACTTTGAAGGTGACTAAAGTTTAAACATGTAGGAATACACAATTTTTTAATAAATAAATTCCAGGCTTTTGGGGGTCCTCCCTTCATATATGATATCCCTAATCTAGTGGTTCCCAACCAGGGAAAACATTGTCCCCAGGGGACACTTGGTAATGTCTGCAGACATCTTTGATTGTCACAACTGGGATGGAGACAGTGGACAGAGGCCAGTGATGATGTTAAACATCCTACAACGTATGAGAAAACCCCTCGCAACAGAGAATTTGCTGGCACAAAATGGTGATAGCGACCAGACTGAGAAATACTAAATTCACGTAGCAACTCTTCAAGGAAGGGGTTAACATGCCAATTTAGCCAATGAAAAAAGCCAGAGGCTTAGCAAAATTAAGATGTTTACTAAACAGAGTTGAGACAGGAATTCAGACTTGTGAGACCCTCTAACCCAAATACTCCCCCCTTGTCTTATGACACATTTTTCAAATAGAATTCATGGAGAAAGCCCTAAAGATTTTCAAAGTGCAATTTAAGTAACCTTACCTGACCTTCCAAATGTCACAGAGGTGAAAAAGAAATGAGACTGAACTGGTGAATAACTAGACTCAACTTGTTGATGGGAAAACCTCTACCCAGGGTTTTCCTTTACCCTCTGCTATATACCAAAGGCCTTCCCGTCCACACATGCATGATAGCTCCAATCTGGAGCCAGTTTGGCAGGTGCTTAGTATATACACTAGCCACTTATTAGTCTACCTGGAATATAAAGTACAAAGGATGAGCTGGATTTATCACTAGAAGAGCTAAGAGCGAGCGCTCCATGAACATGCTCGTGGTGGAATGATGGATGTCTAGGCTCAGCAGACCATGGCATTGACTCCAGGTCGAGGAACAAGCGTCTTACCATTTTCTACAACCAGGAAAATGTCCTTCAAAGTAGGAAAATAGCTGCTTTGTTTAGTTTCCAAGATTTTAACCATTTTGAGGACAATAGGAGCTTGAAGCTAAATTAAAAGAAAAAATAACTTTAGTAAAAATAAGCTAGAATTAACAAATACATGCATTCTGTAGTAAACTATTTAAAGTATATTCCACTCACACACACAATGTTTAACATCCAAAGAGGTACGGGTTTCAAGTTGAAAATATTTTTTTTTCATTCGGAGTCTCAACTCTATAGCCCAGGTGGGAGTACAGTAGCATGCTCCCGGCCACCACAGCCTTGATCTGCTGGGCTCAGGTGATCCTTCTGCCTCAGCCTTCCAAGTAGCTGGAAACACATGCATGTGTCATCATGCCCGGCTAATTTTTTGATTTATTGTAGAAACAAGGTATCGCCATGTTGTTCAGGCTGATCTTGAACCCCTGAGCTCAGGCAATCTTCTCGCCTCCGCCTCCCAAAGTGCTAGGATTACAGGTGTGAACCACTGCACCCAGCTTGAAAATAATCTTTAAAATACATCTGTTCCATTAGGATTGTATTTTATTTTACATTTAGTGTTTAGTTTGGATTTTTTTAAAGTCAATTTACATTTTATTTTATATGTAAAATACAATTCTTTCCACATAAAATTTCTAGAGCTGTTTCAGAAAACCTCTGAGAGAAGAAATGTGAATAGATGTCTTCATTTTTAGAACATTAAAGTAAGTAATTTGTATGGCAAGCATCCAGCAGAGGAACCAAAGTTAGCTCTTCCAAAGCTGTGTCTCTTCACTAAGCAAGACCTTACTCCTTCTCAAATCAATTTAAATTGACTAGGTTAATTAAATCTTACAATCTTCAGCATTTCCCTAGGGAACCACTCTTTTTCCAGGGAAGCAAAGGGTTTCCAATGATCCCAAATGCTGTCAAAATCTTCTCATAAAGGCAAAATTACTTTTAATCCCCACTAATTTTGGAATTGCCTAATTCTACAACTGCTTTGCTAATTCCATTGACAAATAATTCCAGGGCTATCTACTTACTTGATCATAAGTGCATGACAGATTCTCTCTCCTCATTGTCCAGAAATCTAGCTCAGCTTCAGGAGTTAAGTGAAGACCATTCAGCAGAGACTGCACTGAATCTTTCTCTACAATTTCTTGAATTTGATGTGACCATTTAATCACCACAGATTCAATTGCATGGAGTATTATCCTTTCATTTGACTGCAGGCTACAAACATTGAAATGATTAATAAAATAATTCAAAGACATCATTTTATCCAAATAAAGATAGATAAGACTTGGATATTAATAGTTACTTCATGTACCCCTAAATCATTTTCAAAGTATAAATTCTTAAGAATCATTATTTTTACAATCTTGATTGGAGTTGTGGTGCTTAGTTAGCCTGTCGTTGACTTGTCTCTAATGTTTAAAAAGCACTGTTAAGCAAAGAATTGTCATATCCTCAAAAGCCATGCTACTGAAGCAATATTGTTGTTGATAACATGGCAACAACATGTTGTTTGTTTGTTTTCTGAGTTGGAGTCTCACTCTTGTCACCCAGGCAGGAGTGCAGTGGCACGCTCACAGCTACCACAGTCTCAACCTGCTTTGCTTGGGCGATCCTTCCACCTCAGCCTTCCCAGTAGCACGGCAATTGTTAGTTTACTTTTTGTATCTTTTTTCTATAAAAAATGTTTTATTTATTTTAAAATATGATATTTTAAAAAAAGAAACAATTTTACCAGGTGCAGTAGCTCGCGTCTGTAATCCCAGTACTTTGGGAGGTTAGGCGAAAAAATTGCCTAAGCCCAGGGGTTCAACCAGCTGGGGTAACTTAGTAAGACCTCATCTCTACAATAAATCAAAAAATTAGCTGGGCGTGATAGTGCACACTTATGGTTCCTGTTCCACTTGGAAGGCTGAGGTGAAAGGATTGCCTAAGCCCAGCAGGTCAAAGTTGCAGTGGCCATGAGCATGCCACTGCACTCCAGCCTGGGAGAGAGAGAGAGACTCCAACTCAAAAAAAAAGAGAGAGAGAGAGAGAGAGACAACTTTCACATACAGGTACTTAGTTTAGAAACAGAAAAAACACAATAAAATAAATCCAGATTTAGAAATTATTATTTGTAACATACGAGTGCTGAACAAGACAGCTTAAATGTATAATTATTTTTGTCCCATCACATTTCAATAATTCATATTTGTTAAAGATAATGGTTGGGAAAGAAAATACTACACATGGTATTTCTGCACTTATTTTTAAAGTATGATGCAGTTATAGCCCTATTTGCTGACAGTTTGTCAGGGATGTGGTATTACATGGCTACACTGGCTCCCCATCTTGATACCCTGCATATAATCTGTTGTTACATACGTGGTCTCTGAATAATTCTGCTCCAAGTCAATCTTTCCTGCAATAGAAGGAATTGGTAGAAGAGTTCTTCTAGATAGTTTTCCCCTAAGAATATGCATCTTATTTTTCATGACTTCTATGTGACGTTCCATATCTTGTGAAGTAAAACAGGACCAGGATTTATGGTTGTTCTTGTTAGAAAGAATTGGCACTAAAATCTAGAGACAGAGAAACATTTTAAAAAGCAGTTAAATTAATTTACAAACAATACACTCCTTCAAAGATTTTCTTGCCACACAAAATGAGCAACAAAACCACTTGATTTTATAAATATCACCCAATGATACCAAATCTACAAAGAGAGGATAAAGTCAGTGACTCACTTAGACTTAATCAATTAGGCATAAATTCTCTCAAAGTGGAAGTACTACGCCACCTGTTCATTCATCTACCCATTTATCAGACATTTGTGGAGGATCCTGTTAATTCATATGCAATATGATATAAACAAGGTTATGTCAAGTAAGTAAACTGCTTTCTTAATGCAAACTGAGCACATTGGCACATGTATGAATGAAAAAAGTCTTTTTAAATTATATGGAAGCTAGGAGTAAACTAATCTTCTCAAGCCTTGGGTGGCATCCCAAAGGCTTAAAGTTTGGATAGTCAGAAAAATTCAATCACATGCACCTTTTTCAGAAGTCCTACAATTAATAGAGAAGCGTCAAGAAAGCTATGTATATAAAAATAGTTACAAAGTATTTTTGTGTTCCTAGAGCCTAGCATGTCATGTAATTAACAAGAACCTGCTGAGTTCCTGAAGCCAGTCTCCTCTTGCTTTCCCTCCTCTTTTCCAATATCAAAAATTTTAAACATTTTTCATTTTTCTGATATAATCTGTCCAGATTATAAGCACTATACCATGAAATCTGAATTAGCCAAAATGTTCAGAAAAGAGAAATTTCACCTTTTAAAGTTTATTTTGACAATACAATCTTCTAGGTGACAACAAACTGAAGATTCATTTTTGTTTGTGAATGGCATTGAAACAAATCTCGCCAAAGGAATGATCATAACATCTTCCTGCTTAACCCCACATGTCAAGTTGGCACTGTGGAGATTCACAAGCAATAGTCCCTGACCTCAGTGAGTTCAGTGGTGAGGTCTCGGAAACCGTAACCCTGGATGGAAGAACTGACAGGTATGTTCAAGATGAATATGAAAACACAGGAGAAATACCTGCCTTGTAGAGTGCATAGTATTAGGAAAGACTTGCCAGAAAACCTGTTACTTAGTCTGAGTTTCTAAGGTGAAAGAACGGGGCAAGGCAGGTGTTACAGTCTAAATGTTTGCATCCTCCCAAAATTGAGAACTTAGCCCTCAGCATGATGGTATTAGGAGGTGGGGTCTGTGGAGGTGAGTCAGTGATTAGGAGGTGAGTAGGCAGAGCCCTCATGAGCGGGATTAGTGTCCTCATAAAACAGGGCCAAAGAAACGTGTTTGCCCAATTCTCCATGTGAGGACACTACCAGAAGGCACTGTCTAGGAACCAAGAAACAGCCCTCACCAGACACCCAAATCTACCAGGGCCTTGATTTTGGACTTCCAGCCTCCAGAACCATGGGAAATAGACTTCTATTGCTTATAATTCACCCAGCCTATGGTGCTTGTAATAACAGCCTGAACAGAGAAAGAGAGCAAGTTGCCAGAAAATGTAATACTCATACTCATAAACAAAAGCCTAGGAACTCAGGGACATGGCGCGTGGAGGTCACTGCCAGTCCAGCCAGCCTGGAACTCGAGCCAACAAGGAACAGAAACACTTGGGCTCTGAGGAAGGCAGCATGGTTTACAAAGAGCTCTGGAAACCGGGGTGAAGAGTTCAGTCTTGGGTTAAATATACATTGACCCACTGGGGAGCTGCTTTGTAGATCGAATTCCTGATCCCAACAATTTTTTCTAAAAGTCAGGCATAGAGATAATCCCAATTATTCAACATTTCTAATTTACTGGGTACTGTTTCAGACTTTCACTCTATTTACTATTTCATGACAATGCCAACTTCTTCAAAACTTTTTTTTTTTTTTTTTTGAGTTGGAGTCTCACTCTGTCACCCAGACTGGAGTGCAGTGCCCACTTCCGGCCACCGCAGCCTCAACCTGCTGGGCTCCGGCGATCCTTCCGCCTCAGCCTTCCGAGTAGCCGGAATTACAGGCATGCGCTACCACACCCAGCTGATTTTTTGATTTATTGTAGAGATGAGGTCTCGCTGCCCAGGCAGGTCTCGAACCCGCAGGCTCAGGTAATCCACTCACCTCAGCCTCCCAAAGGTGCGGGATTACAGGCTGAGCCACCGAGCTCGGCTACTTCTTTAAAACTTAATGTTTGTTGGTCAGGAGTGGTGGCTCACACCAGTCATCTCAGCACTTTGGAAGGCCAAGGCGGGAGGATTGCTTGAGCCCAGAAGTTCGAGATCAGCCTGGGCAACATAGCGTGACCTTGTCTCTACAAAAAGTTAAAAAAAAAAAAAAAATTTAGCCGGGCATGCTGGCATGTGTCTGGAGTCCCAGCTACTCAAGAAACTGAGGCAGAAGGATCAACTGGGTCCAGGAAATTGAGGCTGCAGTAAGCTATGATTGTGCCACTATGCTCCAGCCTGAGTGACAGAGTGAGACTTTAATTCAAAAAATAAACAAGCAAAAAAACTTAATCCCTATGTCATAACCTGTAGATAAAAACTACTATGAAATCCTGCTATGAAACATGCTCTGAAAAAGCAACTAGTCAAGTCAACAACTAAAGTATCTTCATAAATTCAATTTTAAACAAACAGACCTGGGATGTGCTTGTTAATTACAATATATTTTAATCAAACTGTAACAAAATAAATCAATTAATCTGAGGTTTTATCTTGTTTTAGTTGGAAATTTGTCAACTAGAAAAATCCCAAACTTTCTCTGTGAACCAAAATAATTTGGACATGGTTACTAAGGAGATATACAACTACAGATAACAGAGCTATCAAGCCTTTGCTGTGACTCTCTGTACTTACTAGAGACAATTACCTAGGAAATACCTTCAGAATATAAGAGCCTCTGGGTCCCTCCAGACTTTTTAAGTTGGAATGTCCAAGGATGAGGCACAGACATTGACTGAGAAGAACCAAATGGTATTTCCATCTTGTCATAGTTGAAGTATTCACAATTAACATTTCTTTCAAAATTTGAACCCACATGATACATAAAGAAACAATCACATGGCATTTTAAATACTTTTGCTGGGATGGGCCTGGTGGCTCACACCTATAATCCCAGCACTTTGGGAGGTTGAGGTGAGAGGATTGCTTGAGCCCACGGGCTCGAGACAAGCCTGGGTAATTTGGTGAGATTTCATCTCTACAATAAATCAAAAAATTAGCTGGGCATGGTGGCGCATCCCTGTAATTCCAGCTACTTGGAAGGCTGAGGTGGAAGGATCACCTGATCCCGGCAGATAGAGGCTACGGTAGCCATGAGTGTGCCACTGCACTCCAGCCTGGGTGACAGAGTGAGACTCCAATTCAAAAAAAAAGATAAATACTTCTGCTAAGTGTAAGAATATAATACAATACAGTTACAAATAATAACCAATGAAAACATAATAAAGTTGGGGGCAGACAAACCTTCTCAGGACATTATGTACAACCTGGTTCTGAGATAAATTTAGAGAAAGATTAGAGAAATTTGAGAAAGCTTTGTATCTTCTGCTGCCAGACACAGACATTACAGCAAGAATTCCATAGGGTATAGCCCCACCCTTCCAATTCCTAGGTGACAGCCATCTAGAGTCTAATAATGACCCAAAGTCATCAGATTCAGTTCAATAAAAAGATCTTGAGCACCTACTTGCTATATACCAACAATTGTTCCCAATGCTAAGGACAGACAACTCTCTTTCTGGCATCTCCCTGTAATCAGCTAAAACCAGGTAAATTTACCAGGAGAGGAGAGAAACTTGGACAGGGTGCAGAGCCTGGGGGTGAGAAACTTTGGCTAGCCCAAAGATAGCAAAAAAATACTTCCTTTCAAGAAGGCAGCAGAAGAGAAAGTAGAAGTATTATGATGAATGGAGATGAATATAAATCTTCAGTAATAAATACATTCGTGATTTTTCCTGCCTTAAATATTGGCCTTAGAGGGACTGCTTCAATTACAGAGGTCTGATTTACAAATTGACCTTGTACACCCAGTGGGTCTCAAACCTTGCTGCAAGTTAAAAATCCCCTGAGAATCTTAAACAACTACTGCTGCCTGACTCCTACTCCGGTGTTCTGAATTAATTGGTATGAATTGTTAGAAAGTTCCCCCAGGTGATTCTAAAGTTCAGCAGAGTTTGAGAACATAGTTCCATAGAACCTGGTTATTTGGTACGTTATTTCTCAAAGCTGATTCCTAAGCAAATGGTGGCAACCCCACAATTCTATAATAAATAAATACATTTTTCAAAAATGCAGCCTCGGGCTGTACCTCGGACCCACCAAGCCAGACTGCCTTTCACAAAACCCCTAGGGGATTCTCATGCACACCAAAGTATCAGTAATGTTGGTTTGGAGAGCATTTCTCTGATTTAAGGGAAGAAAAATTAATTTTAAGGCAATCATCTCTAACACTTTCTTTCCACACCTTTTCCCATTATCTGTCATGAGTGAAACTGATAGTTTTCACTGTTAATTTCTAACAGGAATCTGAAAAACAAATACTATCTGTTTCCAAAGTATAAGTCTGTCTCTACTCTGAAAGTGAAGATTAAAACCTACTGCTAAGTATAAGAACCTATTCAATTCATTTTTAATTTACTTTCATTAGTTTGAAAAAAAAATAATTTATTTTGGATGGGAGAGAGGGAGGAAGGCGAGAAGAGATGATCCCTCAAATTACCACCTGTTGAATCATCAGTGTCAGTTTATTTCATGGTCTACCAGGGATCCTCAAACTTTTAAAACAGGGGGCCAGTTCACTGTCCCTCAGACCGTTGGAGGGGCGGA